GGTGTGGCTCCAGCAATGTTTAAAATCACTTCTCCAAGGAAAATGAAGTGAACCAGACGGGGCTCTCCAGCAGAAACAGATGGCAGCCTTAGGAGCTGATCAGGAAAAACACTGTGCACACACTTTGCTTTTGCCTTTGTGAGTCATCTAATTGAAGTTAGACCTGCAGAGATGAGTACTTCCAGGATTTGGCCTTTGGCAGTGGTGGGGCAGCCCAGAATCTGTGGAGGTGTTTTACAGCAGCGCTCTGCTGGCAGCTCGTTTTGGGTTAGGATAGATAAATTCAGGGAGTCTGAGCCTCGCCAGGGGTTCTGGTCCTTGGCTGCTGCTTGCTCCAATGAGTTCCTCCTCCAATTTCAACTCTGCTTGCTGAAGTGACTGCAGCAAATCTTTCTGTGTGTGGGGTGGAGGAGTTCACAGTGTTTTGTCAAGTTGAATGCAGTAAATCAGAAATCTCTTTCAGTTTGTAAGCAAGTTCCTTCTCAAAACTCTCAGCTTTTAAGGGTTTTAGCCTAAGCTGCTGTTCCTGGGAGGCTCCTCCAGAGATGGGTCTTCTGAAGGATGGGGATTTTTTTTTGTGATTCTTATCCTAAATTTATTTGGGGACAAAATGAACCGAACAGCTATCCATCTGTTCTTAACCCAACCTTGTCCCTTGGCTTAAGTAGCACTTTTACTTCACTGATGGCCCCTTTCACTTCTCCCTTCTGGCTTTCCTCAAGATTTAGAGAGTGACTTTGTTGAGATAAATGTTAACCCCCATGTCTCTGAGGTGCTGGAGTCTCAAAGGGTTTCTTGGCTTGTCTCAGTCACGAGCCAAGAGTGGGTTTTTCATCAGGTGCTGTGCTTAAAATTATTGAAATATGGTTTTTGCTGCCATTGCTGAAGTTATTTCTTGTCTTGTTACTCCAGCTCCAGTTGCCTGTGGATCAGGCACAGGGAACACTGATAACTTTAAGATTTCACTTCACAAATAGGCAGGCCGGCCAGCATTTCACATCAAACATGACCCTTTTATACCTCCTTGTTTGCTTCCTTCCCCTGCTCTCCTAAATGGAAATTACCGCTCTGAGAGTCTGGATTTATTGCAGAAATAATTGGGCACATTGACACATTTTAACAGGACAGATTTCAGGGTGCCACAGTGCAGATCTGACAGCTTCATCTGGCCTTACATCTCGCTCTTGGCCAGCAGGGTAATCCATACCATACTGCCACAGTAATTAATCAGCTCAGGGCTTTGTTAGGGTCCCTGTGTGGGTATGAGTTGCACAAAAGGATCTGCTGACTTAGCTTTTTAGCCATAAAGTAACTTGACAGTGCTCATTCCACTCCCAAAACAAATGGCTGAAACCTAGGAAAAAAAGCAGATTTGGAAGCAGGTGTGCACTGCTTCAGGAGAAAAATAAGTGCTATGACTGAAATCTGTACAACCACTGAAATTGCTTAATCTTTGCTTTTGACTTGTACTTCAGAGCTATAACGAAATCCTTCCAGCTTTTTGAGGTTAGACTGTAGAATTGTGATGGCTTTATTTATTATTTAATACTACTCTTGCCTGTCACAGCCTCATCCAATATTTGAATTGCTTGGGTTTGACTCTTTGTTGGTGTGCCACAGGGCATCAGGAGCAGGGAGCCACCAGCTCCACAGCACTTTAATCTGCTCAAACTTTCAGTCAGGTTTGATGGCACAGTGAAAAATGCTGCCTTAATTCAGGTGTGTGTAGGGACAGTCACAGGGATAGCAGCACATGCCTTGACGTGTGTGCTCCCTCCCCTTCATTCCTGATGTTCTTTCCTCCTTGCTCTGAACTGGGAACTATTTCTTGCACTACCTGGGTGGCACGGCTGCCAAAATTTTGAAGTCTGTCCTGGGAGAGTGGTGGACACCTGCAATTCCTGTTGAGGTCAAGGAGAAGTGTACAAATGCCCGGCGTTTCTCTTCCAGGTCACCTTTCAAACAAGTGCTTTTTCACAAAACCTCTTTTTTTTTTTTTTTTTTTTTTTTTTTTTTTTTTTTTTTTTTTTTTTTTTTAATTTTTTTTCAGCCTTTAAAACCTTAACAAGCTCAGTCTCTGCTATCAGGTGCTTTCAGCTCCTCTTGTTTTTTTGGTAGTTTCACATTCAGGGACTCCTGGAAATGGAAAAAAAGGGGAAGGTTGCAATCAGTCTTTTCAGAAGCATCCAGGTACAACCTGGAGCTGTTGTGCACAAACCCTCGGGAATGTTTTTAAGTAAATGGATAGAAAGCTCCAAGGAAAGTAGTGTGAGACTTTTGCTCACTTTTTAGCATTCTCTTTAAAGCTACAGCAAAATAAAAAGATGCTAAAATGTAAATGCCTGTCCCCTTATTTTGCACAAGCTCTGCTGAAGAAAACTCTGCTTGCAGCCCATTTCTGTTCTCCCCCTCATACTGATGGGGTGGAGGGGTGAGGAAATGGCTGTGTTGGGGCTTAGCTGCTTCTTGGGGTAAACTGACCACAGCTGGCTACTGTCTTTCCTGGTTAAGGAGAGGAAAAAACCAGTTTTGAGCCTCCCTCTTTAATTGGCATCTTCCCTTACAACTTCTTGCTCACAGTAATGTGTAGCTGGTTTAAATTGCTTTGCACTTCCTTGGTGTTTCAGAAGTATTCAAGCAAGTTAAAAACATATATCCTGAAAAAAAAAAAAAAAAAGAAAAAAAAAAAAAGAAAAAAAAAAGAAAAAAGAAAAAAAAAAGGTTTACGAATGTATTTTTTGTGTTGTAAATTTCTGAGTTGTACATGAGACAGGACTTCTACTGCCAATGTGTAACACACAGAAATAAGAGGACCGGAATGTTCAGGGATGCATGAGCCTCATCTGGTTCTGCTGGCCCCAAAAATCCACAAAAAGATGCTGCAGAACAGGTTTGACCAAACCCTGCAGCTCACATTGGCAAAAAGTACAGGGCTGGGTAATTTTCCTGTTCAAATATTGACTTGTGCAGTGAGGTTTGGCTTGGTTTATTTTATTTTATTTTTTTAATCCAAAGACCTCAATGTACTGTTGTAGGAACTTCTTTCACCTCTGCTATCTCAAATCCTGTTTATAGAAATGTGGGTGTGTGGGCTTGATAGCTGTTTAACCCTAACCTTTGCTTTAGCAGCTGACTTTCAGGCACTCTGTTTCTCAAGATTAATACCCTTTTAATAAAAATAACCTTGTGTGCATTGAACTCTGCTTAAATGTGGGGGTATCTGAAAACAAGTTGAAAATGGCTTTGCGAATGTTATGAGCAGAATGTAAAAAAAAAACCAAAAAAATTTCCTAAAATAGCATGAAAAATGTTAAAATATTTTCTGCACGTTTACACATTAAGAAGGGAGTTTTTCAAAGGAGCCAGTGGGCAAATGCTAGGGGAAGCACTACATAAAACACTTTTCAAGGCAGCCTTTACCACAGCTGAATAAATTATATGGTGGGTACAGATAAAGGTGGACACCAGCAGGAAGAAAGTGGGAGAAATTCAGGTCTCTAGTGCTGCCTAAAAACAAAAGAAAAAAATACTAACAGTGGTAAGGTAAAAAGCAGTTCTTTAATGAAAGCTTTCAGGTGCACAAAGTGTAGGTATGCAAGTGAGTAATAGAGCATTTCTACAATTTTAATAAGGTTAATTAATTAGTATATTTAGCAGGTATATGCAATAAGAGACTTGTTGCCCCAGGGTCCATCCCTTGGAGTTGGTCCAAGGGGTTGTTTGCTCTATATTTTGTGGTGAAAAACAAGGATCCTGGTTAGATATTCTCTTCTTGAGAGTGAGGCTAAACAGAATTCCAAGAGCCTGTTAGAAAGGGTTGGCTTCTTATTCTGAAATGTGAGAGAAGGCTGGAAAAGTGTCGGGGATGAAAAGAGACAGGGAAGACTGATTCGGGGATCAGAATCCAAACACTTATATTCTATTTCAGGGAGACTAGTAATGTGTACTACAATGATTGGGTTAGGGCTCACATAAACAAACTTATGCATTTTAAACATCTTTCTTGCTTGCAGATGCATTTTAAACATTATTGGGTTAGGGATCACATAAACAATCTTATGCATTTTAAACATCTTTCTTGCTTGCAGATGCATTTTAAACATCTCTCTTGCTTGCAGAGGTGTGGTGTAATTTTCTTTTTCTGGTAAACCCGTCTGATTGAATCTTCTTGCAATCCTCAAAGTTCCATTTGCTTTAGCCAAGGCATGATGTTATCAAATCTCTTATGTTAACCAGGTCCAAAGCTCATAATTTGTCTTGTGTCCCCAACATTTCCCCCTTTCTTTTCAACCAAAACCACTCCTTTAATGGCCTTATTAATTAATCTATGCACAAATTGAAAGGTATCATGATTAATACAATTGTCACATACGTACCTATCCTGAAAATAATCTTTTAGCTAAAAACTCCTGCCACTGAAAGGCTCAGGCTTGATCATTATAAATTGAAAACATTCCTGATGGCAGCCACATTACTGTATTTGGAAAGACTGCCAGAAGTGTAATTGTACCAAAAGGTTTGATTCTTTTACACGGGGTGACAGGGAGATACATTTAAAAAATTTCAGACTGATTTCTTCCCGTGTATTTAAAATTAACATAAAACCCCAATTTCACAGAGCACAGGAACTCTGATTCTTGGGGTTCCAAGGGTGTTTCAGGAGGGCAAGGCATGACATTTGATGCGACTTGATTTGCTTTCAAAGTTTTTAGTGTAAATATTAGCGTAGGGTTCTGGAGGATCTATAGAAAAGCGCTAGGAACTACAGAGCTATACATTAAATGTAAATGTAAATGTAAATAATGATGATGATGATGATAATGATAATTATTTATAGAGCTGTACGTGAAAAATCTACAGATCCATGAGAGGCATCCCGGGGGGACACTGAAAGCCGCGTCCTGCGCATCCAGTCCTCGAAGGGGTGGGTTTGTGCTTTAAGCTGAGGGCAAAACCTCCTCCCTGTGCTGACTCCTGCCTTGGCTGTGTTGTGCCTGCAGTGGCTGAGGAACCCGGGCCCCCAGCACGAGAAGAGGACTCTCTTTGGGGACATGGTGTGCTTCTTGTTCATCACCCCGCTGGCGACCGTCTCCGGCTGGCTGTGCCTGCGAGGAGCCGTGGACCACCTGCACTTTAGCAGTAGGCTGGAAGCTGTTGGCCTCATTGCACTCACTGTGGCACTCTTCACTATTTACCTCTTTTGGACCCTGGTAAGTGCCAGGGCTTTTGTTTAAATCACAGGGGGAAAGGGAAAGAGCGAAGGGGAAAATTGATGGCACGGAGCGCTCTGGATCATTGCATGGAGTTTTGCTTCTGTTTGCCTCCTGTGCTGGTGGGCCCAAACTGCACCTGCAAGAAATCTCTTGGTTCCACACCATTCAAGCTCCCCGGGACACCAGAAAGACAGTTTGCTTTGGGGTAAGGGTTCTCAAACCCCAAGGCTTCCAAAATTGAATGACAGAACTAAGATTATGAGTGTGTCATTTGAATAGAAGTATGTAATATCACATGGTAGGAATTAGAGTTTACGAGTGTGTCGTTTGAATAGAAGTATGTAATATCACATGGTAGGAATTAGAGTTTAAGGCTTTGGAATATAGTGATATATATAAAACCAGATAGAGATTTTAGGGTGGAGGCTAGTCCTTCTTCTTCACCTTCTTCTTCACTTTCTTCTTCATGAGTTTAGGTAGTATTGTGTAATCAATAAAAAAGTCCACGTTGCGGGGCACAAGTAGTTATTAAGTTAAAAGGAAAAATAATTTGAATGTCATTTCTTAATTAGACAGTTTATCCTTAAAAAAACCTTGCAAAGAGCGAGATACAGCTCCATTTTTAGTTTGCTAGAGTGAAGTGCTATAGAACTCATAGTTTGTGGGACTGTGGTAGAGATAAAACTAATATCTGACTCCAAACAAAAAATACTGTCTCACACATTTAATTCCAACTGTAACAAAAAACTCCAGAGAATCCACACTACAGGAGGGAGTTTCACCAAACGTGATGTGCAAAGGATGAAGGCACAGCATACACACACAAAAACTATTTAGGTGAACAACTCGGCTGCCACAGAGGATTCAGATTTCATTGTAATGCAACATCTTGCCAATTTTACAATTCAGAAGTGTTGGATGTGGGGGAAGTCAGAACACACACGTGCCCAGGTCTGTAAAGACAGAGCTGCTTTTCCAGTGCGGGTTAAATTGCATCCTGCACCCCAGCACGAGTCAGTCTCATGCCAGTCCATCCTGAGAGCCACTTGCTGTGTCAGGTTGTTGAGCAGAGATAATTTACTGGCCCCAGTGTGCTGACAGGCAGCTGGCCCGGCAGAAATGGGAGGAACACAGGGCACAGCTGCCAAAATGGGTGTTTATCAGGCCATGGAGTAGCAGCTCAGTGAGAAGCCCAGGTTAATGTTGTGTTTGACACTTCACACCTCTTTTTGAGCAGTGGGAAGGGTGGGGTGGATGCTCAGATGGTGCCAGGCTGTGCTGCTGGGGCAGGAAAAGCCCAACCTGCCCTGGCATGGCCACATCCCACGGGGCCAGCACACAGCTCTGCCCCTCACTGGCTATGGCCATACTCTAGCCCAGATGTAAGAGCCTAAATGAGAGATGTGGGACCCCAGGCAGCTCTTCAAATGCAGGTTATTACATCCAAGAGGTTACAGCAGCCCAGGGTCGTGGGTGACAGAGCCTGTGCCTACAGAGCTCAGCTGCAGCTGCAGGCAGGCCTGGAGACCCTTTAATTTTGGGTCTCCAAATACTGTACAAATACTGTACAATACCAGTCTTAATACTGTATTAAGATGTTCTTCTTTGCTGAGCATCTTAATACAGTAGAACCAATCTATACCTTGACTTATCTATAGCCTATCATAACTGCTATAATTACCATATTCATGTTACTGTTCTCCAGTCAGTAAAAGTTAGTACATTACAGTTGAAGCTAGAAGTTGTTTTTCAGTTTTCATGCAGTGGAAAATTCTGAGACCCTTTTTCTACTTGCAACATCTGTTCACTTGTTTGCCTGTGCTATTTTTCTGCTTGGTAAAAGCATCTTCTTGTTTGAGGTGGGTTTATCCTTTGCTCTAAGTCATAAAAGCCCCTTCTAACTAACATGCTCTTTGTCTCCTTGGTTATCCACTAAGACTGGCTCAGCAATTCTTTTCTTCTATGTCAAAACTTGCTTCCATCTCTATTCCTTCTTCAGATTCTACATTCAAAAATCTTTCTGCCAAGCACACATATCTGTGAGACTTTCTTGTCAAACTTTCATCCTTCCCAACACCCAGACCCCTTCCAGCACATTTGGGCCTGTGTAAGCTGCTGAGGAGGTGGCACTTTTAAAAAGCTGCATTGGTGGAGCAAGAAACCCCCCTGTGCTGAGCCCTGAGGAAAAGGGGGTGTGAGGGGAACACAGAAACCCCACACTTCCTCACGAGCACCTCCCAGAAAGCTGTGAAAGGGAAATCTCATTTGCACATTTGTGAACCTGTCTCACCCACGGAGGAGTGCAGGCAGTGCTCCACGGGAGGGAAAGCTCAGAGTTTTGCCTCAGCCTCGTGCAGTTCATCTTTTTTGTTGTTTTCTGCTTTTCTGTGAGGCAGCAGCACTCTCCTGAGACAGGCCATGAACTCCACTTGTTTTTCCTGCAGTGCTGGGTGTAGATGTGCCTGGCAGGTATGCAAGCAAATATTGTTCAAATTTCCTTTGTGTACGGCTGTCTTAGATACCAAAATGCTGAACAATTTACCTAGCACACTTAATTCAGCGCCATCAAATTGTTAGAAGTGGTAAAAGGCCTTTTTTCAGGTGGATTTAATTAGCTATGACACAATCTTGCTTATTAAGACTGCTGCAGCATCCCAACTTTGGTCCCTATCCCTGGGTGTTGCATTTGCAGAGTTAAGAGGCAAAAATCCCTTATGTTCACTTTATAAATTTTACCCCTCCTAAAGCACACGGAGAAATGTGCTGTTTTATCTTAGAGAACATGCTAGTGGTACTGAGCCTGATGTAAATGCATACCTTGCTTGATTTAATCGAAATTCAGTATTTCTGATGCTCTCTCAGTTGTGGACAGCTCCAATTCCATTTTAAATTGTTATTTGGGGCAGTAGGAGATGGATGGGCTAAGGGAGCACTGTGCTCTCTTGAGAAGGGCAAGGCAGGAAGGCTTTTAGGGGAGTGAATCATCAAATGATTGAGGCTGGGAGGCAAAATAAGCTTCCTTTCGGTGATGTAGGAGAGCCCCAGCCTGGGCTGGCCTCGGGGAGGGCTCCAGGCTCCCCTTGTAGTGCAGGAAGGAATGGTCCCACACACAGAGAAGTGTTAATTCCACAGAACTCTTCAGCAGCATGTGCCTTGTCACTTTCAGGAGTGGGAGAATCCTGTGGCACAGCCATGGCTGTGCAGGGAATAGGTTCAGTGCTGCGGGGTAAATGACACGCAGGATGATACAATATTCCTTTAGGCCCTGGGGAAATGAAGAGAGCTACAACTTTGTTTTACTTCCAGTAAATCAGCCTTCCTTCTCCGGAGGCAAAAGCTGGCATACAGATTATTTACACACCACAGTTGTCCCAGTGAGCAGTGAACAGCAGGGATGCTATTTTTGGCATCCCAAAAGCTGTTTTATCCCTCCCTCTAAAACAGACAAGTTCTCCATAAAACACTGCTTTTTACTCTGCTTTTTACTCTGTATTTTTAACACACACACGCACCAAAAAAGGCACCTGGTCCTCCCAAGAAGAAAGCTCCAGACACAAAAAGGGGATTGTTGCTTAAACTAAGAATTCAGGGCCACACTTTGCTCTCTCTTGTATAACACACATACCTAGTTTAACAATGCAGATATTGCTCAAAAACCTCATCTTGTGCTGCTTGAAAACCCAACCTGAACTCCAGCTCACTCTCCTGAAGCTGCCACTGCATTTTACAGGGCATCCCCCTTTGCAGATGGGGGAGTTTTCACCCTCCTCACTACTCCAAGTGACTTCTGCTGCTCCTGCAGTGTCTTTTGAGAAGAGATTTCTCACATTCCTTCATACACCCTGCTCCACAGAAACAGAAGATGCAGGATGCTTCCTTCAGGGGGAAGAGAGGAGGCTGAAAGTTGGGGGAATCAATCTGAAGAGCTGTCTTTGCCAAAAACTGCTTAGTAAACCAAAGCCTTATAGGTTTCTCTCAAGACAGCAAAAAGATCTAATTTAAAAAATAAAAAAAGAGGATTTTTAGCCATTTTAGGACATTATTGAAAGGTAAATTTCTTTAGTTCTTTAGTTATTTTTGCAGTAAGCAAGGATATGGTGCATGGGTCAACTCCTGCCTGCAGCTCAGGAAGAAAACCATCATCACTTGGCAGATTTCTCTCAAAATTTACAGTTTTTTCTTAGTTTTTGTTTTTGTTTCTTTGTTTTTTTGGTTTTTTAAACTGCATATACAGATCCTCTTACACAGCTGCAACTCTCACAACGCTGGTCTGCCACTAAAACAAGTTGTGAACGATTTTTTAAAAACCTGAGGCCGGGCTACCTTGCATCTCCACAGCCATCACACATTTCTCTTCCACAAAAAGGTTGGAATTACCTGACAACAGCAAAAAATAATTTCCAGACACAATCTCTGTTGAGACACACACGTTGTCATCTCATTGACTCTGTTGCAAGCCCAACTTTGATGCATTCAGCAGTAAAATATTACAAGGTAGAACACACCTGTCTTCATCTGCCTGCAAACAATTACACTCTTTGTCAATTTAGCAACCTGAAACAAGAGAGGATATCCCAAATTCTCATTCCATGTGTGCCAGCAGCTCTTGAGAAAGGCAGAGGCAGGATGTTTGGCTGTGAAAAAAGGGGAATGGGAGGTAAAGTAGCCACAGGCTGCTTTTCTCCTCTGCTGCGGCACCTCCGGGCATGGTGGGTTGTCTCCATTATATTTTCTGAAAAATCCTTTTTGCTAGGATTTTTCTCCTATTCTAGCTGAGAAGCCTCAGAAAAGAAATGTAAACAATTAACTGTCTGATGGCTGTGGAATGTGGTCTGGACATTGTTTACCAACAGGTGCACCTTTGGTCCACGTGTTTCTATTTAATTACAAATCAAAGATGTGTCAGAGTCTGAGAGTCACGAGCTTTTGTTATCATTCCATTCCTGTCCTTTCTAGCCTTCTGATAGATCCTTAATCTGTGTTCTTTTTAGTATAGTTTTAGTGTATCATTTTGATATAATATCATAATATAATGAATCAGCCTTCTGAAACATGGAGTCAAGATTCTCCTCTCTTCCCTCGTCCTGGGCCCCTCGAACACAACCATAGTGGGTCTCTCTTGTCACCAGTTCTCCCCCATTTTTGTCACACTGGGAGGCATCTGGAGCCACAGCTGATCCCTTGCAGGGTGGCAGTGAGTGAAGGCAGCTCTGTCCCTTCTGTCCCCAGGTGTCCTTCAGGTACCACTGCCGGCTGTACCACGAGTGGCGTCGGAACAATCAGCGGGTGATGCTCCTCATCCCAAAATCTGCCAACGTCCCCTGCACCCAGCAGTCCCTGCTGGGCCTGCAGCCCCTCAAAAGGAGCTCCAAGGAGACAATCGTGTGATTTGGGGTGCAGCTGCACACTGAAGGTGGTTTTGGTTTTGCTTTTTTTTCCTCCTCAGACCCGTCGAGGTCGGGCAGCGTCCAGCACCCAGGAATGTGCAATTTGGATTTACAGACTGACTGCAGAGGGATAAGTCACAGTCAGAGTTCAAGTGGTGGATGCTGCAGTCATCTGTGGCATCTGCTAAGCTCCCAAACGTGTTTAGTGGGCAGGGACCCTATGGATTCTGCAAATAGGTTAATTGTTGCGTCATCGAGTGATGCAAACTTTTTTTATTGTTTAAAGTATTAAACTATGGTAATTAACAATGCAAAACAGGTTTTAAAAGTGCTTTGTTTCTATGATTTCTTGTTCCTACAGTGCTGTTTCTTTAGGCAGCTGGACAGTAACCAATATTTATTTCTGCTTCCTAAAGCACAGCAATGGCATTTCCTCATTTGATTTTATCTGCAGGTCCATTATACCAATGTTTTGATTATTAAAATCTGTGTATAATGAGCTCTACAAATTGGCACATTATTTAAATGCTACAAAGTGATTGGAAAATTGTATTACCCATTTCCTATCTGGCAGGGAAGGTCTGACAGGAAGATTCTTCAGTTATGACTCTAGCATGCGCAAGAGAAAAATTACACAAATTGCAATAATCTTCCTGTCAAAAGTATTATAGCACATAGCACTCAGGAAAAAAAAAAAGAGATATTGTACTTTTCCATAAAGAAGCACCATATTCTTCAGTGAAATGCACATTCTGCTGGTGTGAATTCAAACTTAGCCAACATATTCTGCATTTATACCAGGCTGAATTTAACTCTGCAGCTTACTTTTGTATAGGGAAAGCTCTGCATACATAATGAATGAGATCATCAGATAAGTTTTAGGAAGCAGGGACTCATCTTGCATGAAGAACAGCATTATTTTAAAGCAGCAGAAACTCCAGCTTGACAGGTAGGATTTGACAGAGTGTGTGCAAACCCTGACCTCTCATGGTAGCACTGAGACCAAAAAAAACCACTAAAAATATTTAATACACAGTCTTCTATGGTGACCAAATTGAATTTGGAGTGTAAAATCAGACCTTATTCCTGGGTGACTTTATCTGCTTCCCTTTGGTTTTATGCCCAATTCATTCAGCAATTCTTCACTCCCAGAAGATACACACTTATTTTAAATAACTACACAAAATCCCATTACCAAATGCTGTTGGAATTAGAAATCGATACAGAGCCCCTCTGAACAGACGAATTTCTTAGAATTGTGCATGGATGGCAGTGCCATCATGTGCTTTGTTTTCCAAAAACTGCAGGAACTGGAAATCAAAAGGAAGATGTAGCAGGAAGGCTAATAATTTGTTATTCATAAAGTTCAAGGTATTATGGGTATTTACCACCAGACAAGAAGTTATTTGATGTTTTGTGTGAGCTCTGTGGGGGTGAAAAAGCTTAGTACACAAAGCCAGATCTGTTAAATTTCTTTATTCTGTCTGTGGACCAGTCTAGCTGTGAGCATGTTATTTAACGATGTTCTTTGTGACTGTCATTCATGGGGATAGGAGAATCATGGGGATATAAAGCAATAACAGCCTCATTCCAACAGAAAGGCACTTACACAACGAGCCAAGGTGGGTAGGGAAGTCATGAACCTGCAGATCAGCCTGACAAGGCTGGGGTCGCTCGTGTTTGGCTGTCAATAACTGCTTCTCTTCCAGGGAAAACTGAACAAGGATCTGAAGATAAGGATATCACAATCTCTGTGACAGCCTGAAACCTGTAGAGCTTTATTTTGTTTTTATACCTCTTCCCAGAGGTAAATAATTATTTGTAATGAAGACTGAACATGCACTTAAACGGAATTCCAGATTTAAAAAAAAAATATCTGCTGGCCAGGGGCAAAGAAATAAAGGAAATCTATCTGGGTCAGGATGCTGTCAGTGTTTTAATGCCTACAACACATACTTTAGGTAAGGTTTATTCAGAACTTTATTACTGCTCTTGAATTCTTTGAAATAATTGTTATTCCTAGTGAGTGCTATTGTTGGCTTTGCCTCATGAAACCAAAAATCAGGGTGATAGGGAATAAAGAGGCACAACATTCAGGGAAACATTTATTCAAGTGAAGCTGCAAGGTCTGTGCACAGACATCAGCACAGTGGCTTGGCCCAGCTCATCTGTGCAATTTCAGGTTTTTTGTTTTTTTTTTTTTTTTTTTTTTTTTTTTTTTTTTTTTTTTTTTTTTTTTTTTTTTTTTTTTTTTTTTAAAAAATTTTTGTTTTGTTTTGTTTTGTTTTGTGTAAAGACAGCTTTACTTACCTGAAGAAGGCATATTGAAGCAGACAGAGATTAAAAGCATGGTCCAATCACAGTAGTGTCCCATGGTTTTTCTTGAGGAAAAAAAAAAAGTGGCAGAAAAAATCCAGTCAGACACTTACCACTGCATTAAACCCATGGAACAAAAAAAAGCATACTTGTATTCTTCCTTGCTTTTTCTAAAACACAAGAACTGGGAGGTGAGAGATATTACTCCTTAATCCCACTCCTGCTCTAAAGATTTACAGACAGAAGGATCTCCCAGATAGGAGCTGATTTTTCCTCCACGAGTTGATGCTGTAGATGCCACACCAACCCCAAATTTCCACAAAAAACTGGATTATTACAGCAGATTATTAAAAACAGATTATTACAGAATATTTTCTACAACAGCAGCAACACCCATTTCTGTCTGAGTAAAAGTGAAAAGACAAAATTAACCACAGCAGAAGCCACAGCCAGCAAAGCTCCCTGGAAGTACAATGACACCTTTGTTATGCTCTCCTTAAAAAACAAAGTTAATTAAAGAACATAATTAATGACAGGATGAGTGACCATCTTTTTATCTTTTTAAAATGCCACTCAACTTCTCTCTCAGCAGCTCTATGCTTTCTTCTCATGCAGCTGACTTGGTAATTTACATTTCTTTTCCAGATAAGAAGTTACATGTAAGGAACAGCATTGAACAGTATTTGAGCCAGTATTTTAAGTTGCAAATGATAAAAGCAGCCTGTTCTGATTCAGTGTGATGAGTGTAATGCAAAATGAGGAAGTTTTACTTTTTTTTTATAGTCTTTCCCCTGCAGGACTTGCCTATCACATTACATAAAGATTTAGAAATACCCCAGTTTTCTGTTCAGCTGGAAGGAAGTCACAACAGAAGCAGTTATTAAAGATACTTCAGTTTTTGGTGTTGTTTGGCGTTTTTTTTTCGTTACTCAACTGAACAGTTCTGCCTGACTGAGACCTCAAAATGTCATTTACATTTCACTTATTTAAACCAGCTTTGCACCAGTACAAAGTCACACAGGGCAAAGTGACAACTCTGCATAAAGGGACCTGGAGCCAATAAATGCAACTGGCCTTTGATGCAATGGGTACCATCAGAAAGAGGTCTGAGAACAGATACTGACAGACAGACTCATGCACTGAGAGAGCTAAAGAAGCTCTCCCTTTGGAACAAACAGAAAAACCCGATCTGTTAATAATTAAATATCTTTACTTGTTACTTTTTGTGAGATGGCGCCTCATTTAACACACAACTGGTTAATTAAAGAAGCAGTTTCCTTGCAAGCAGAAATGAGCCCTGCCTCTTCACTGCCAATTATTGGGTATTCAAAAGTATCTTTAAAACTACAGTGCCAACTCATGGAATCAGGCAATTTTTAAGGTGGAAAGGATGATGCATTGAGTGCAACCACGGACCCAGCACCACCACGCTGAGCACAAACCACGTCCCCAGGTGCCACATCCACAGGTTTTGTGAACACTCACAGGGATGATAATTCCACCACTTCCCTAAGCAGCCCATTCCACCCCTTCAGTGAAGGAACTTTTCCTAACATCCAGTTTAAACCCATCCTGGAGCTGCAGGGGTTGTTGTGACCCGAGGGCAGGACCCAGCACTTCCCCTGGTTGTCCCTGACCCCACTGGCCTCATCCCATGGATCCAGCCTGTCCAGAGCCTCTGCAGAGCCCTCCTGGCCTCCAGCAGATCCAATTCAGTGTTATCCAGAACTCCAATGCAGAGTTATCTCCAAATTTACTGAGGGAAAACTCCAGATCAATAAAGATAAATAATAACCAGAGCTTGTCCCAGCACTGCTGATGACACTTCACTGATCCATGCTGTTATTCCACATTTCAAACTTAGTTTCACTTGCATTTCCAAACGAGACAGCTTTTTTAAAAAACCAAGGGTTATATCTTAACCCTTAGCCTGCTTTCAGGTATTAAATCTTCTGCTGACAGCCTCTCCTCCACACCTGCTTGTGGCAAGGCTACAAAACACTCGTCCTCAGTTTGGGATTGAAAGGTTACAAAACCAAAGGGAATTTTCTTTATTCTAAGTATACCAAAGACTTTCCCAATAAAACCTGTCAAAACAGACAACAAATGTTGATATCCTATGTACAACATGCCCTTAGTAGTAACAACAAAACACAGCAACCTCAAAAACAAGATGTTGCAGTTGCAGGGGAAATCAATGTCACAGTTTCATTCCATGGCTTCTATTATTATGCAGAAAGTAAGACTTGCTTGCCAAAAATAATATTTTTTGTTCTGAAAATGCAGAACAGCTATGAAAACTCACATCCCATCCAAGAGTTAATTTTTAATTGCTTGAAAATTCTATCAGTCAATCATCTTAAGCTGAAATGTGCCTTCCTTTATTAATGCCTCAAATGAAGCTTTTCTTCAGGGTTAATCACAGTGTTTTTATCACACAGAAATCCTGTATTTATGCAAACCTCCTAAAAATATACCAGGAGCTCAGCAAAAGGCTCTGAGCAATAAATGCACACCAAGCAAAACCTGGGATAAAACAGCTAACTTCTGCCATAATCCTGTGATGGAGCTAGTTGAGTATTATATATAATTAAGTGTCCCAGCACTTCCCTGATGTCCAGGAAAAGCTAAATAAGCATTCACATCCATCACACACAGCCTCCCCTCCCTTTCTAAAAATCACCAATTATTATCAGTTGTCCTCTTTGGAACAGGGGCTTTAAGAGCTTTTAGTCTCCATCAACTACTTGATTTCTTTGCCTGGAGAAAAATCCTTCACAGTTATCACGTGGCCATTTCTGTAAAAGCAGCAGCATTTAACTTGAAGTACAGATACAGCTTACAGTTCAATATAAATACGAAACACAGCGTTTCACAGATAAAAACCATCCTTTTCAATCCAGAAACCCCCATAGTAGTATCAAAATGATACACTGATAAGAGAAATTTTCATGGAAAGAAATTAAACTAAGAGTAAGCATTTAAAATTACATTATTTGTAGAAGGAAATTAATAAATAGCATCTGTTGAACAGAATTTATGTATTCATTTCTCTGTCCATATTTTGCTGTCAGCTTGGGACAAATGTGATGTATATATGTAAATCATGAACAAGGAAACACAAAGCAAAAACCAATTTTTAGGACAAAACTGCTGTCAACAGCACCACAAACTAATTTGCACCAGTTTTGACTACACTGGGGTTTTTATAATGAACACTGGGAAAAAAGAATGCAGTTCACAGGTTTGCTGCACAGGTCAAACCACTTGTTTCCTAAATTCCTAATCTGTTTCTCACAGGAGTGAGTGTGTTTGAGCAGAAACATTTCTGGTAAAGTGTTTATCCAGCTACAAGCAGTAAATTGCTAAAGAGTTTTCACCTGCAGGAGGATGCAATTTGTATCTAATGCCAGAACCAATGATAATCAAGTTATGGAACTTGCAGGGAAGTGCAGAAAGTGTTGGGTGCTTGCTGTACAAGTATTTTAAAAAAAATCAAGCAAAACAAGACCTCCACCTTGTGGCAGCATGTTTCACAGTTCTTTCCTAACATTCCCTTCTTTTCATTTACAGTAATTCCTGCCACAGCAAAGAAAAAAAAAGAAGAATTATTCTAAAATCTCATTTCTCCCATTGCCATTGAAGAACAGGCTCTACAAAAGCTAAAACCAAGAATTTGACCATGCAGGAAGGTTCCTACCATAACTTCAGATTTGTACATCAACCCCTCCCTTTCCACCTTCTGCTGGCACATGGTTGAAATGGCACCAAAAAAGGGTTCATCCAAGGTGAAAGACATGTAAAAAAATCTTAATTTTGCCATGAAAAGTCCAGTCAAAAAAAAAAAAAAATACAATCAACTTCCAAAATTCTGGCTTTGCATTTGAAACAGTAAATTCAGGCTATGGCTATGTCAAAGATAAGTATTTTATAGCACTTCTAAATTTCTCTTTATGTTACTGCGCTTGCTCACATTGCTTAGCCTGGCACTTGCAGGATGCAGTAAAAGCCAGTCCAGTAAGGACAGAACCATGAGCCAAGATGAGCACAAATGCAACAGAGTGTGAATAAAGCTCTAAAGAATTGATTTTCCAAATGTGAAGCAGTATCAGTCATTATTCAGAAGGAATCTTTGCACCTCAAATGCCACTGTTCCATTTAATGGATGTTTCTTCAGCTTCAAAGTCCATCAATTTCAAGGACTCAATGCTCATTCAACTTTTAGCTCAGTTCTAGGAAGAAACAAATTCCAAAAACTTTACTCTGTAGCACAGACATACTTTATTAAAATGTTTTCCAGACATTGGAATAATGTGAAAAGGACAGAAAAACTTTCAACATTGGCAAAATTACAACTGTTTCCCATACAAATGTAGACTAGACCTCTAGAGACTTTGTTGTGTTACTAAAAATTGTAAACAAGTAAGGCAATCCATATTAAAACAGCTTCCTAATTTGTTAGAAAAAAAACACAGAAAATTTAAGCTGGTAACACTATCTTAACAACACAACTACAAAGTGTAACATGAATCCTCTTCCAAAATTAGAAGCTCTAAACCAATCCCCAACAGCACCTAAATTACAAAGAGGTCGTAGCAACTAGTCTAGAGTGGTATAATCTAAAAAAAATCGATCCCCAAAACACACTGGAATATTCCTACTCCAGCAAGGTTTCAATGAAGAGAGACTGGTGTATAAATCTGAGAGAGACACAGGAGCATCAGGTTAATTCTCCTTGTCAGGAGCTACCAGCTCACATCCTGCAAGGAAATCAAGATGCTTGTGACAAACCTTCCTTTTTCTTTTTTCTTTTCTTTTTTTTTTTCCTTCCTTCACTGGCAGAGGAAATTTAAGGCCATCAGACTCGCAGCTTTAAAAATTCACAGACAGGAAAATAAGGTTGTGCTTCTCAGAAGGCTCTGTTCTGCAGGCAGGGATTACCACGGCTGGAGGAGCCTGGAGTGGCTGGAATTTCACATGACCACACAGCTTCTGTTGGCTGCTCTTTGCTCTGCCTGCTGTGAACAAGGGAGAACCATTTAAAACAAAAAAAAGCCCAGAAAAAAAACCCCAAAAAATCCAACAAACCACCCAGCAGCATAACGTTCAAAATGCTTTTCCACTCAAAATAATCTACTGTGCTTTTTGATGTATACTTTTAAGTAAGTGTATATAAATTTTATAGGAACTATAGATTAATTATCTATCAAACATACATTAATTACATAGTAATATATAATTAATTATATATTTAAGCATTTAATTGTATATTTAAATATATTATTATATTTAATATATAATTAAATTTATATACACATATATGTATATACATACATATAAACACACACTTTTTAATATATGAAATTACTGGCCTGGCATGGTACAAACAAGAGTCAGCAAAGCTGTACAACCTGTTTTACCCTGGAATTAAAACAATGTTACATGTCCTTTCTTATTGAGGAGTAATAGAGGACAGGTATCAGAAAAATATAATTTATTGTCATATTTGAATAAGGGAGCATGAACAAGAACCTTAAGAGGTTTTATATAATAAATCTAACCTCACTGATTTCCAACACAGTCTTTTTTTTTGGTCTTCAAAATTTCATGTTTTCAGCATGTCAGGCACATTTTCTCTCAAAGAGTTTTCAAATTTCAACTTATTTCTATCAGAGAAAATATGTGAATATCTCTCTTTATCAGAGAAAATATTTTCTCTATCAGAGAAAATACGTGAGTACAAGACACTAACATGATTTTCTCTATCAGAGATAAAAAGACATTTAAATTCTGAGAACTTTCAGTAAATTTACCTTCTTGAGCCAAGCTTCACTATAAACAATTGGCATGGGGGGGGGGGGGGGGGAGGGAATCTTACGAGGAACAGAGTTTAAGGGGAAAAAAATAATCCCCATATCTTAAACTTGAAAAAAAATGTACTTCTCTGCAACAGGATATATATTAGGCAATATTTTCAGTAAAACAGCTCCATGCTTTCCTTAATTACTGATTAAAACAAATAAAAGAACATCCACACTCTATTTTCAGATTTTTTTTAATAATTCATGACTTATATCTCCATTTTTTTAATGTAAATAACCTTGTTAACGTTAAAAAAAAAAAAATACCTGCTGACGGTAAATGTCTTCCTCATCCAGAGCTTCAGCTACTTCTTCCTCAACTTCCTCATCTTCCCCTTTACGTGCTGTTGTTTTAAACACAGTGCTTCTCTGAGCAACCTCCTGCAAGGCAGATTTTTAAGACTTCAAACAAAAAAAAAAAAAAAAAAAAAAAAAAAAAAAAAAAAAAAAAAAAAAAAAAAAAAAAAAATCTCCTGTTTCCCACCTGCTTAAGACTTTTGAGAAATGAAAGCTCCATCTGCTGGGAAAACTACTTTTACTCATTTTGTCTGTATGCTTCTCAAGGACTGTTGATCATAAACAGTTTAGTTTTAAATATCTTCATGATTAAAAGGACTGTTTCTGACAACACAGTCATCAGGTTCTTCCAAAATCTGTTTTTTTCATATATATTTATTTATTTTCTTTCATTTGCAGCATATTACAGTAACCCCTCATTTCTTCACATGGATTTCACTGTGGGATTCCCCACTCCTCATAAGCACACAGGCTTAAATCAAACTGATTTAGAAGACAAATCACTCAGGAGTTCAACAAAACTTTCTTTTCAAGGCATATTCTAAGGCACTGCCCAGCTCCTCCCATGAGGGAGATGCCTGAACAAGTAATTTTTTCACTATTTAGACTCAATACAGAGTTAAAAAAAAAAAATAAAAAATCACAGGGCTCAGTAGAGGCATTTCTAAACTGCAGCTAGTTCTCCAAAAGGAGAAAACTTCACCAAAAAAAAACCACTGCAGGGCATTCCTGTATGGAGCCCTGATCTGAATCCTTGCAGGTGATGCCACACAGAGAGACCTCACACAGATCTGAGGTGCTTTACCTCTCCCTGAGAATTTTTCAGCACAACTTTCACATCTTCACCGGTGCCCCAGGAATTCTGGTTCTTCCAGATGAGGTCAGTGGGAGGGCTCGCAGTTACTCCAGCATTTGCAGCCCAGATCTGACAACAGAAGTCACACACGAGCATTTTTTGCCAGTCCTACCACATTTCCAAATTCAGTTAAAGCAGTATTTCATTTAAGCAAAGCTGTGAATCCCTGCCAGCAAGGAAAAGCAAGCATCTTCCAAAGTTTTGTGCAATAAAACACAAGTGTTTTTAATGCAGGGACTTTAGAATGTGTAATATGATGTAAGATTTTCACCTGTAGATGGTGAAAATCAGTGCTTCATGCAGAAAATTCTGAAAAAACATCTCTGTATTAATTATCCCAGCAACTGACACAACCAATGCCCAACACAAACACAGGTGACAACTTCCTGAAAACATACAGAGGAAGGACAAAAGTAAAAATCCTTTTGTCTTTTTGGCCCACAGAAGTTGGCCTGAAGTCCATTTCAAGGGAAACTTGACAACTTACTGTAACAGTCTGGCCTGCCTTTAGTACATATCTTGAGGTATATCTGTAACTTGCAGAAGTGTCTCCTATTTTTCGGATCATCTCCCAACCTCCCATAGGTTGATCCTTAAAAAAGGGAGAGGAAAAAAAATAGTTATTTCCACCAGCATTCGTTTTTCTGCTTTGCATGTAGTTTTACCTTTAAGGTTGTGACACACACAAAACTTAAAGTGAAGCGGTTTATTATCACTTGATCTTCAGCATGGAATTAGAATAATTTTAGGTAAATTTATCTTACCTCTTATTTGAAATTAAAGCTTAATACATTCTGCTTTTGAGTTCTGATGTTAACTTAACTAATGTTTATGATTTGCATCAGTTTTATTATCACTTGGTCCAGAGAAATACATATTAGTAATAGGTATTAAATATTAAAATCCCCTTACAAATATTTATTGTGTTTTGAAGCACAGAATGGCAAGCAGGCTTCCTAGAAAACAAAATATTGCTGTTAGTATTCTTGAAATATTTTTACATATGCACACTTGCCACCACATAATCCCTATATTATTTTTTTCCTATCAACTACTTGAAAAGCATTAACAAATCACATACAAGTCATCTTTACAGAATGACTGCTTCAAAACAAGAGTAGGTGTTTTTAAATTCAAAACAAGAGTTTTAAATTCAAAAAAAGCATTTTTTCAACTATCCCACCAGCATAGGTTCTGATCATTCAAGAGGTGCCACTGTCAGGTAAAATTATCTGAAATAAACAATCTTATATATTTCAATGGATGCTGACATTCAGTTTGTCATTGCACCAAAACATGCCATACTTAGAGAGGATTTTATAAATTTTTAAAATCTATTTATTTATATAAACTGTCAAAACACTCATGAATATTCCCCAAGTACAGTTTATTACACTGCACTACAGGTAGTTGCTCAAATCTAGACCCCCTAGAAAAGTGCTAAAAACATGAACCACGCATGGTTACTGGGAAAACTGATGCTTCTCCTTCCTTATGAAACAATGGATGTGCAGGGAAATTAAAGGTGGAGGAAAAACAAGTATATAGAGTTTAAAAAGTATATGTGTGGGGGCAAGCTCAAAAAAAAACTCTCAAACAAGCAAAAAAAAAAAAGGCAGGTTCTGACTCACCAGAAAGTTTTTGATCTGGCTGAATTGAGTCATCTACAGACTGAAGTGTCTAGACCAAGAAAAATGTCAAGGTTTCTTGAATTCACTGCACGAAACCATCACTCCCCAGGGTAATTACAGGTAATTAAAACCCATATTATCACTGTCTGGAGGAGCCTGTCCATATCCTCCCTGATTAGAGGGGACTGGGACACTTGGAACCAGACCAGCTCATCACAACAAGCTGCCTTTTAGTGAAGATAAAGGAGGGAAATGTACTGCACATAACAGCATCATTTTAAGGGCAAAATAAGGAAGTGATTAGTATTTGTCAAAGGGTTCTTCATTTGTGTAGATATGTGTACCCTCACAATACAAATTCTAACCTATTCAGAGAATTATATAATCTCAGTAGTCACTGCAACAGTGGCTTTGGCATGGGAATTGAGGGCTCATAAAATTGTTGGTGCAGCCAAGGAAGAAGAAAAACTGTGATTTAGGAAAGCTCTATGCAGATACAAGGGACACTGGCAGTTAATTTCATCTAGACCTTTATTCTGCATCTCTATTTATTTTGAGCCTTTTTAAGGCAGAGAAGGTGCTGAAAAGGCTTATAAAGCAGCTTGGTGTCTGCTTGCAGCATTTCTTATCAGGAACAATGTCATCTGTAAAGCTTTGCAGGTGCATTACTTGCAAGGCAGAACGCAGAAGTGCGAGGTTTGGGGGACAGGCCACCTTGCAGCAAAACAAAAGCACCAAAAATCCTTGGGGAAAAAGTCACCATCAATCCAGACCAGTGTGTGAAAGCTTTCTTTGAGACACACCAGCTCCTTAAAGCCACAAGCTCTGGGCTCAAAGTGAAGCCTGGGAGCTGCGAGGGCACCGAGGACGCCCCGGCGCCTCAACTCACAACACGTGTGGTCACTCCAAACCTGCTCAGAGGTGTTCTTCAAGCGGATGAACTTCCCATCCACATCTATCTCCTCGATGGACACGTTCCCTGTGGCAGAGGCAGAGTGGGAAATGGTCACGCTGCTGCTGGCTTCGGACTCCTCCACATCAATCCTCTTCCTCTTGCCGCCGGCCACGCGGACGCTGCGGCTGGACGAGGCGCGCGAGACGGTCACCCGGGAAGAGGGGCTGGGGGACAGCTTCAGCCTGGTGTGGGCAAGGGAGAAAACACACACACACACATCCCATCAGGGAAAGGGAAGCTCAGGGAGGGACCTCCTTGCCCTCCACAACTCCCTGGCTGGAGGGTGCGCTCGCGGGGAATGCGGGACATTGGCTGGAGGGTGAAGCGAGCTGGGGGTCAGGGTGCGCTCGCGGGGAATGCGGGACAGAGTGAGAGGAAAGAGATGAAGCTGGGACATATGGATGGTGTACACTGGGTACCAGGAGGAATTTCTTCACTGAAAAGGTAGTCAGGCTTTGCCTAGAGATGTGGTGGATTCATCATCCCTGGAAGCGTTGTAAACACATGGGGATGTGGCACTTGGGGACTCTGGGGCACTTGGGTTTGGTGCTGACCACGGCAGTGCTGGGTCAACAGCTGGATTCAAATCTTTCCCAGCCTTAATGATTCCATGATGTGGTTTCACTTTTTCCACCTTTCTTTTAAAATAAACTTCCTTCCGTCTCCTCTTCTTCCCATAATTTATATAGCAACATAGTAAACAGAGCATGTCACATGAAGAAGTGAAGGCTGAAGTACTTAAGAGGTGAATAAAATGTTGTCAAACAGCTGATTACTGTTCCTGCAGCACAGAATACTGATGGAATACTACATTAAGAGCATAAAAGCATTTCTGTGCATTTATTGAAGAGTACAGAGAAACAAAAACCCTAGGGAGACTTAAGCCACGGTGGGAAATCAATGCAAAAACAAAGTGGCATAAAAGCTTTGGCTGTTTCATCCCCACAGTTGAGAGGAATCAGCAGAGAGCAGCTCAGAATACAGTGAAGAATAAAATTGCTTTAAATGACAGTTGTGACAGAGGTGAAAATTCTCAGTACTGGAAGAACTCTGAGGCCAGATGTGGAAAACGCAGCTGGCTGATGAGCTGGGCAATCACAATGACTTAATTAAAATTATTCTATTGGGTAACAATTAATTAACCCTGCAATTAATTTCGAAGAAGAATATTAAGCACAGCACCAAACAGGCATACAAATGACAATCCATTGCTTCTTCTCTGCTGGCTCTAAACCCAAAAAAAAGAAAAAAAAGTGTTTGCTGCCTTCTTGAGAGCCAGTCTGACAATCAGTGTGTTTGGTCTCATCATGACTTTGAACTGTGTCAGACAGGAGGGGGCAAAACCAGTGCCTTGGAAAGCTGTCAAGGACCACTAAAAACTGCTTTTTAACAGAGAAAGAGACAAGAAAAGCACAGAGATAACAGAGACAGCACCTGGTTGCCATGTCCTTTCCTACCTCTCCTCTTCACCCTCCAGCAATTTCCGGTATGCATTGATCTCCATGTCAAGTGCCAGTTTAACATCCAGGAGTTGCTCGTAGTCAGTCAGCTGCTCCTGCATCTGATTTCTTATCTCTGCAATTTCCTTCTCCTTCTCTGCCAGTGTTTTGCGGCAGTTTTCCTGCTCCTGGGCCAAGCTGCTCTCCAGCTCCTGTGCTCTGTCCTGCCATGCTCTGGACTAGAGGGAAAGCATTGAAAACATCAGCAATAGTGCAGAGGAAAGCCCACCCAAACCTCTACATGTTCTGCTGTTCAGGCAACACAGAATTCAAAACACAGAAGTTGTGTCCTCCCTTATTTCTGTGTTCAGCTTCCTGCTCTCCACCTCACCTACTGCAAATGTAAACACCTCAAATTCCAGTGAAACTTGCAACATCCTTGGGAAAACAACTACTTTGCTTTGTTTTTCTGAGGTCTGACAATATGCTACTGTACTCTGTATTTCCCTTGAATTTACTTGGGGAAAGAAAAATTGAGTTACAGAGTTTAAGTGTTTAACACGTGCCAGACAGGACACAGGAACACTGTCCTAAGCTGCCCCAGGGGAGGTTTAGGCTGGACACTGGGACAAATTTCTTCACCAAAAGGGTGGTTAGAGATTGGAATGCGCTGCCCAGGGAGGCAGGTGGAGGAGTGATCACCCCTGGAGGTTTTTCAGTGCTCTGTAGTTTCCAGATGTCTGCTTTGTGCTTTGGCTTGGTGCTGCTAATCCTGAATTCTGGGAGGCAGCTCCCCTAGAGGAATAGGGGTTGTTGTCAGTGCAAACCTGCCTGCCTGTCCTTAAAGCCTCCAAGGCTTGCTCAGAGTGTGGTGATAAGCATTCCTTGAAGAAATCTGATTTGTCTCCTGCTTCAAAAATTCCATCAGGTCAGCAGATCTTAAAACTGTATATCCAGAATGGAATGCTTATCAAAGAAAGCCCAAAATTATGTCAGCTTTAGAGTTTCCATAAGCATGCTTTCCTTTGTTTCACAGCCCCTTGAGATTTAATTTTTTTTTTAATTAAGTAGCAGACACAGGAACCAATGCCCCATAATCACAAAGTTTGCTATGCATGTATCCAAATTTAAGAAGTCAGCACATATTCCAGAGAGGAAAGGGAGTCTCCATGTCTGACACAAGGGACCAGTATAACTGGTTGTCAATGCTAGGAGTCAGATAAGGAATTTAATAAATGGAGTTTTGTATCATATGGAAGATCACAGTGGAGTCTACTACAGAGCTCAGAGCTGGCAACTCAAACCAGACCAACATCAGAAATAAAAGATTTCCAAGAAAATAAAGCTTAACTTAATGCTAGTAAAGTGGAAAACAAGTGTCCTGGCTGACTTCACTCATGCTACCATAAAAAACCACCCCAAAACCACAGCGAAATAGTTTCTTTGGTGGAAAATCACGGTCAGAACAATAGAAGTTCATTTTCCCTGAAGCTGATTGCCCTGGAATTAGCAACAAACACTTTTGCCAGTTCAGAAGGAAGTCCTCTGAACCAAGCTGTCACTTCTGAAGTAACAGAACAGAGGAAATTAACTTAAGAAAACCTGTTGACTGAACCCCGAAAAGGTGATGGTAATCTAAAGGCAGAAATAAGATCTATGTGGCCAAAACTTTCCATCCAACTCCTGTGGAACATCATGCACATTCATTCTATGACCTGATCTTTCCCAGAGACTAACTTGACTAGGTAAAAGGAGAACTAGGAAGACTCTTACTAGTATCTGCCAATTTATTTGGAAAATTAGGAAATAATATCCCTCACATTTATATTTTTCACTAGAAATACAAAGAATTTTGATGTTCTATTAAGAATCTATTGTACAGGAGGAATAAAATTCAAAATGTATCACAGATAAGATCAAACAGTACTAGTATTTTATATTAATAAAAAAGTTTAAATGTTTTGTGGCATGTTCCAAAAGCTTACTGTAGAACCTACTCCTAACACTTCTGATTTTCACTCTGGATTTTCCCACTGCAGTGCACACAATGTTACAAACAGGCCAATACTGAACATATCACTTGTCATACATACATTATGTCACACTTCTCTGGGTGTGATCTATGCCCTCTGTGATCTAGGAATAACCAATTTCTGCTCATAATCCTGCCTTACAGATGCTTAAGTACAGTTATTTGATGTTTTTACTCAGTCTCACATTCCTAATCTGGGCAAGATCACATCATTAGTTTTGGGTTTTTTTAGATGTCTGGATGCAAACTGGATCTAGGATGAAAAGAGATTGCAAATTCCAGTTCTGGCTTTGAATGTTGCTTTGTAGAATTCTACACTAGGCTGGTCCAGTCACTATTAAACTGCTCAATGTCAAGAACATTTAACAAACGTTTGTCTAAAACTGCATTTATCCACAAAAATGTTCAGAAAAGCCAGTTAACAGTACCCCGTTTCAAACACTGGCTCTATAGCAGAATACTAAACACAGAAAAAGAAAATAAAGCCTGTCAAAAGGAAACATTAAGAAATTTGAAAAAGCACAGAGCAGGAGGAGAGAAAACAAACTCCGGTCGTGACACTGAACAAACTGAGGGGGGGAAGACAGACCTTTAATACAAAACCCAACAAATTTAATAGGGAAGAAAAGCCCTTCAATGCAAAACCCAACATCTGTAAGCAGCAGGACCGGGGAGGCACAGCTGGATACCTCTTTCTGGAGGCTGGTGATGTGGGAGGACAGGCTGTCGATGCGCATGCGGCTCTCGTTCAGCTGCTCCCTGATGGTGTTGGCTGCAGAGCTGCTCATCTCCGAGGACAGCCTGGCACTCTCCAGCTGCAGGGCACCAAAGTGAAGACATCAGTTTCAAAGGAACTTTCACCAGAAGAAGGAATGAATCACCAAAAAGCCACAGGCCACGCTAAGCCACCCCAGTTCCTCTCTGCAGCTCCAACGCACTGAAACTTTTCTTTCTTTAGGGCTAAAATGTGGTAACCATGTTGGATTGCCCTGCCTGGAATCCCAATTCTCTGAATATTTACTTTAGGATTAAAATTTTCCCTTGTAGACATTACTGAAATTGAGCTACTAAGTTCAGTTTTCATGCTGGCCAAAGTTTATTTAATACACTTAAATGTTTATTTAATACTTCTTAGTAAAGAAGCTACACTGAAATTACCAATTCTCTAAAAAGAGGGAAAATTGTTAACTTTCAGGCAATATGAGCAAATTGGTACCAGTGCCCTAAACCACTACTGCTTCATTCTATCACTTCAATCTTCAATAGTTTTACTTTTATAAAGTAACTAAATCGTTCCTGTGGAACACTACCACACACACTTGAGCTGCACCACAGATTTATTGAACTTGTTGATGATGATGCAAAGAATCTATTTTGTATAACTAAGTTTCCAAAAATACAGAGGAGTACACCTGAAGATAAAGACCAAGGAAGCAATGAGAGGTTGCATTTTTGGTATTTTATTATTAGCATTATTGTTGGCATTTTTGTCTAATTTATTATTTATAGATCATACTTTAAATGATCTTTTCCAAGCCAGATTGAAGGCCTGGAGATAAGCAGGCTGAAAAGACCAAACCGATGCTAATAAATTCAGTTTATATGGGCTTTTCTGATGTAAAATCCCACTTTGCTTTTAAAAAATACCAACTGCAACAAGCACAGCCACAGAAACCAGGTTCAGTTGAGACATCAGGGTGCCTCCTGACATAAATGCTGAGTAACAGCAGAGGAAGGAAATGAAGAAGTTTAACTGATTTCAGCTTTCTGCCTAGATGAGTAAAAAACAGAAGTTACAGGGCATTGTAAAACTTCCCCATGTTTTGTACAGGCTCAGAGGACTCTGTCTTCTCACCAAGCCCCATTATGAATTTTTATGCAAAAAACGGATTGTTGTTCAGTATCATGCTTAACAATGCACAAACTTTCCTTGAATTCACAGTAATCCCAGCATTAATCACTTTTCCCCCCAGACCACCTCCACACAGTGCTTCCTTCCCTTCTGTTTTTGTACCTGGTGAGGATTAAACCTGCTCCCAAAGCGAGAAGTGAAAATGCAAATCCACACTCAAACGCATGCTAATTTCAAACCCAGCTCCCTAATAAACCCCTCCGAGCCGCCAGCAATTATGCTATTAAGCAAAACAAAAACAAAGTACATCAAACAGCTGTGTGAAAACATGTTCTCACTTTGGAATGGTAAGTGTCTTCGAGCTCTTGTTTGTACAGCTTCACTTGTGCATCGTGCTGCTCACGGATCTCGTGGAGGGCCTGGGCCAGTTTGTGCTCGTATTCAATCTGACGCCCAGAATCAACCTCCACCAGGCGAGTTTCATGCTTCCTTCTTGTCTCATTGATTTCCTGTGAGAGCCAGGAAAACATGATAACACCCAGTGAATACAGGACAAAAAATTTTCAGGAGACTATGCTGCTGAGTGAAGAGTAATGCAGGTTCTAGGATCAGATTATTCTGGCAGGAAACTTTTAGTATAAATGCTTATTTTGCAATAGCCAGTCATTAAAATAAGAGCTAGGATACCACTAGCATTTTTTTGAGAGTTCTCTCAATTTTCAACAAATACACCTCAGCATCATCAGATTTTAGAAATATATCCCCCCTTTCTTGAGGTCTCCTCTGTGCTTCAACAAAATCAAACTACTGTGAAATAACAGTCACCCCATTTTCCCCATTTACTTGTGTGCTTGCCTGTGCTTTCTCTCGAAAGAAAGGAATTCCAACAACATGAAACCAAGCTGAAAATACTTCTAGCAAGAAAAAGCACACATGGAAAAAAAGACAGTATGGTCAAGTTCATTTGTTACTGCCCTAAAGTTCCTCCTGGAAAGCCTCACATTAATGCCCCAGCTGAAAGGGAAGGTGGCAAGAGAAAGCTCTAAGAGAAACTATTCCTCCACTTTTGTTTCCATTATTCAAAAGCATCCTATTAGAAAGGTTTGAAATTAAAAACAGTGCAGGTCCAGAGCACCTGTTTGAGTCTCCCCCCATTTTACTTCTTATAATGGGATTATGTGGTAAATTACTAACCTACTTTCTCATTAATAAAAAAAGACATGTGCATTGCATACCATGATCAGAATTTAAGATGAAACAACATGATATATAAAGTTATTTTACCACAAGAATTCAGAGTTAAAATCATTTTTCCTAGAAAAAGGAAGTTAGAAATCTTCATGCTACAACAGAGGTAAACCCTACTCTGAGTAGGAGTTCAGACATATTGCAAAGGTACCTCCCAACCTAAATTATTTTCCTATTCTAGAATTTCCCACACCTGTTGCCTTCTTCTCTTTATAAATGTTAATTCTTGAGGCTAAATTTACCTCCTCATACATATTTTTACGGAATTCCAGGTCCTCAATGAGGCTCTGACAACGGTTTTCAAGGTCCACTTTCTGCAAGGTTTCGTTTATAAGCTGGTCCTTGGCAGCAGCTAAAGAAGCTTCAAGCTTTAAGAAATAAAAATATCAACACAAAAATTATGCAGCAGAGCTCACACGATGGCCAAAGTCTCACAGACCTACAGCTAACTATACACTAAGGTTTAACTTCACAATCAAATCCCAATATTTACCCCAGTAATATTACATATCACACATACACACTTTTGCAGTTGCATATACAATAGAGTTCTATATATTTCACGTTAGTAGCTGGTATTAAAATTGCTACTCAATGATTTTCCTTACAAATCAGTTTTTAATACATGGAAAACACCAGTCTCCTTGTCTCCACAACTTGTCTCCTTGAGGTGGTGCTGCTCAAGATTACAAATCAAAAGGCTAACAAAACTGGGTCAAGAGGTTTTCCTCCTCATTGTTCCACCAGAACATGCAGAACCACAGGCAGAACCAAAAGGAGGGCAGAGCAACTGTTATTTGTCAGTTATTATCTGCTCTTGTGAAGTCAATGTGCCCCCCAAAACACTTCTGAAAAGTGTCAAGTGTACTTTGAGTCTTGACCTGCTTTCTTCCCCCTAAGTAACATCCCTCCTAATTTCAGCATCTGCAGTTTTAAGGGCTCTCTCAGCTCTTAAAATTCACAGGTTTTCATCCTTTTTTTTGGTTACAAAGTTATATTTTATCAGATTGGCAGCTCATAATACAGAAAACCATCTCACTCACTAAGAGAACCTGATGGTTAGATATCTTTCCTTCTCACCTCTCTAATTTGATCTTTCAAATCTTCAATTTCTCCCTCCAGACTTTTCTTATCACCAAGGGCTGTGGCCAACGCAGCTTCTTTAGAATTCAGGGCTGCTTCAAACTCACGAAGTTTGACCTGGGCTCCACTGAGGTCAGATTCCTTTTTTCCATAGCTGGAACAAACCAGAGAAAGTGGTTGCAAGAAAACCAAGGACAGTTGGTGGCTAATAAAGCAATCTGAATCTTGAACTTGAGGAAAACCTGTCAAAACCATTTTGTGTTAGCTAAATTTACTGTGCTTTGGCAGCACCCTTCAAAAATGGCAAAGCTCCACAGACCTGAGGAAGCAGACCTAAATCCTGTTTACACAATATCTGCCATCACAGAAATTACACTGGCACAGAGGTAATTTCTTTATGAAGGCAAGCACAGAAGATTTTCAAATTACCTTCAAATTGGTTTTTGTGTCTAGACAAGCAGTCAAGCATTTTCTAGTTGTTTATCTCCTAAACCAGCATATTCAAACAGAGAAATCAAATGGGGGGGAAAAAGTGATGTCCCATAAACACAAGTTTATTATCCACAAATAACACTGTAACAGGCTACTATCAAAAACAGGAGAAGGGAAAGCTATATTCATGAATCATGAATCAAAGTTTCCTGTCCTTAGATGGCACAAGCAGCCATTAAATGTGTAACAAGTTGTACAGCCTTGGAGTTCATTATATTTCTGCCTGGGATATCCACATTTGTCTATCAAGGGCAGTAGCATACAGAAGTCCCAGATGGTCTTAATTGAACTATGAACTTTTTAAAGGAATGGACAGATTTAGCCTCAATAACACCAGAGATGACATATCCTTCTTCAGTTCTTAAGCTTTTCTTTCCAGACGTTTACAAAAACAACAACAAAAACCCCCCCCCCAGAATTAACAAAACAATGTGAAGAAAATTGGATAAATTAAAATTGGATAGATTCAGAATCCATCCAATACTCTTTTTAGTCACTGCACAGTTTATAAGACACAACAGCAATACTCCTTGACAAAACGAGAACTAATGCAACATCAACACAATTTTAAAAGGAGACACCCTCAGCTTCAAAAGATCCTATTTTCATCCAAGATTACCTGCACTTATCATGCTGAGGAGAGGTGCATGCACAGAGGGATGCAGGGATTGAATGCAGTCTGGAGGTTACAGCACCACAGCCACACCACATGGCAGGCTTTATGCAACAGATTTAGCGCTCGTTAATCCCGATCCCGTGGGATTAGCACCTGCTCCCCCCTCCATGGCATCCAAGGGCCCTGAGACACACAAAAACACTCTCTGCTGCACTCAGCAGCTTCCTCCTGCTCAGCACTCCCCACTGCCTTAGTGGCATTTCACTCCTCAGACCCACAGCTGGATCCACCGCTTGGAAAAAAAACCAACAGGATTTAGGGTTTGGACACTCCTGCTTCCAGCTCTCTGCATTATTCCCTAGAGGTCCTGTCCTGTCCTTCCTCTTCCACCCAGGCCTGTTGGAACTGCAGCATGCAAGGAAGGTGCGCAGCAGAACAGGAAAAGGAAGGAAGGGAAGGTATGTTGTCTTAGCACACGTGTAAAAAACCCAATCTCTCCATCCCCTACTAGGAGTATGAGGGTCCACAGCAGACATTTCTTGCTTGATCACTTCTGAGAAAAAAGCTTTAATCAAAACATGAAGAAATTGCTTCTCCCATGCTGAAACCAAGCCTACCAAGTCAGACCCTGAAATGAGGAAGTTGCAGAGCTTCAGACAGTGTGCTACTCCCCAAATTACCCTGGACTCTGAAACAGATTCCCCAAAATGTGCCACTATCCAAAGTGTGTGGATCTGCTTGGATCTTAAATTATTTTAATGCAAGTGCCTTTTAAATGCATTTACAGACTGAAAGGCAGCTGAGAAGAGCATTCTTGCCATGCATCAGCAGAGAAAAAAGGGTATTATAATAAAATAGACTAGCAACAACAACATGATTAAAACCCAGTGTAGTACCTGTACCACAAATAGTATTACCAGTTAGATCAGCCCTTTCTGGCTTGTTTGCAACAAGACTGTCTGTGAAGCCACACTATAATTTAATGCAACAAAAGCCACAGTGGGGGGGTGGTGGGTGGGTGGAGAATTAAAATTAAGCACTATTAGTTGTTAGTGACATGAGCTGTCTAACTATGAGACAGCTCATGAGAACACATTCTCAGAGAGAAAACAGAAACTAGAGCTCAGCACTTCAAACGCTGGAAGTCAGATGAAATCTCAGCAACTCAAGTGTCATCCCAGCCCTAAAGGGAATATAGGAAAGGAGGGAAAGATCAGAAAAGCCTCTGTGATTTATAAAAGCAAACACTAATGTATACAACACATACTTCACCCTTACACCTATTAATTTTGACCAGGAAGAACTTCAGTCTCTTGACAATAGATGACTTCTTCCTCCCCAGAGAGCCAAAGCTACACCTGAATACAGCAAATGAAAAAACCTCAAACACCTTCCTGTTGCAGTGTTCAGAAATTACCTAGAACTGTGCTCCTTTTCAAGTAGTTTGACTCATGAAAGGAAAATAAAAGCAAACAAGTAATTGCTGACTTGCATCTTTTTCAAAGAAGCAGTTTGGTTTTCTCCCTTCTGACTTCAAAGTGCGTGGATCTTCTTATCCATGGAATTGTTTACAACAACCTAGAATTTCCCATCATCTCTTTAAACTTCTTGCTGAGTTAATAGAAAAGCCACACAAAAAACCCAAAAAAACCCCCTCAACTAAACAAAAACCCCAAATAAATAATTTTCTAGAAATGACCATCTGGAGCCAGACAAACCACACACCCAATGCAAGGCAAGCAGTCAGCAGCAGGACCTTGGGAGGTGTAATTCAAAATTTCCTTTGAAACTGACCAAGTGCAGGATGCCACCAGTCTACAGATTGTTCTCACCTCCCACACCTCACCCACTCCTTTTTGCTGCTACTTAAGAGCCTGATCACAAAGATAAGCATTACCAACATTAATCAAACCCTCCTTGAAAAGCATGGGCTTTCAGCCAAGTCATGACATAGATACACACGTGTTGCAATTCCTGATAATACAACCTATATTTAGACCCATATAGAGTTTCATTTACTGCACAGTGGGCTGGTTTTCTACTCCACTTGTAGAGAAATATGAAAATAATAAAAAAAAAAAACCAACTACAGTCATGAATTTTCTGTGTTTAATTTAGCTAGCGGTCACTTTCCCACATTTTTCCCCCATGGCAGACAAAATGCTAAGGCTGTATTTTGCAAGAAAGAGACTTAAAATAACATAAGAAGCAACTAGGAGCATTCAAATTTTTTAATAGAGACCAACAAGAAAATAAGAGTAACTGGACAGAGTTTGGCTTTCCTGTAAATAAGTATATGTAACATGGTTTCAACTTGTCTCATGTCACCCATTTTATTTAAATGTAGTGTTTGCAACCAACAACACATCATCTCTGGTCACATACTGCTCAGCTGTGACCTTACTTAAAGCCACAAACCCAACCTGAAGCTCATGGTCACCTGTGTGAACCCCATAAACCCCATTTCTAAGCAGAAACTACACACACAAACACATACCAAGCAACTGCCCGTTACCCTGTCATCATTACATGTGCAGGTATTTGAGACCAAATATTTATGTCCTACACTGCACAGAAGACATGCTGACTTCAGAATATAAATTCTTGCGTTTCAGTGGCTTGAATTATTTTGCAACAGTTAATTACTCCACTTTTTTTCTGGGTGCTCTGTGGTACACATCCAAACAGTGACAGATTTCAGATTACAGTTCTGAAGTTCCAATCTTTGCCTCGCTTTCCAAGATCACCTACAATAACAAAAATATGCCTAAAAAATTTTCAAGTCTTTGCTTCCTTTCCATAGTACCTCCCCAGCTCCCTACAACACACATGCACCCTGGAAAAGCCTGGAACAGGTGTGTCACATCTTTGCCTGCACCAACACCACATGGTCTTGTGTAGCTGCTCAGGGTACCAGCTGCAGAGTGCCACACACTCGCACAGTAATTCAAGCCACAGGCTGATGGGAAGCTGTTCCTGGTATTTATTTTACTGCCTAATCTCAGTGCAGAAATGTACTTCAGAGTGTAGATGGGAAGGAAGGCCAACTGGAGATGCAAAGCAAGACAGACAGATAAATTATCTCTTAGATATTTAAAATTAAAGTTTAGCTGCTTGACACAATTACATTTGCTATTAATGCGACAAAACACCTGAAGATAATAAAGGAAGATTAAGTCCTTTACCATCACCTTCAATAAAATACACAATTTCCTTCGAGGTTACTTTAATCACACTGTCTCCTCTTCCAGGAGGAGCAGATGTCCCTCAACACTGGCACACTGCCACAGTGAAACCCCAGCCTGCCAAAGACAAATGTAAACAATGGGTTTCCTAAATGAACTAGAGCTAACACCAGCTTGTAACTCCTAAAGAACACAATTTCCTCACACAACCAACCGGAACGTGTGCTCAAGCCCAGCCAGGGATTTTTGACCTGCCATACACTGAATTAAGACCCCATTGCAAACATTCTTTGAAATAGATTTTCTTTATCTTGGAAACCATTTCCACCAGTGGAAAACTATTCTGAAACCTGACCCATCAGCAGAGCCACACAAGACACAGCCAGCCTTGGCTTTCTGAACAGCCCTTGTTCAACAGGACTCGGTGACACAGCTGTGCCAAAATTCACAATGTGCACCCTTGTTAAGTTAATTGCTCCAGTGACACACGAGACCTTTTTCCACCCACCATCCTGGCCCAGCAGTTCTCCCTGGTGTGCACTTGTGGCAAATGATGAACCCGTGACACATTTCCCCTCAAAAGCAGAAGCTTTGTCCAGTCTTGTAGAATGTCAAGGAGCAACTGGGACCTGCTGCTTAAATGATGGCATTATGACATGCCCAAGGATGACATCCTTCACTGATTTGTATGCCTTGTCTATTTAATCTTTTTCTCAAGAAATATGGAATTTGCAGCAATCTGAACTCCCAACCAAGGCAATGCCGCTCTGTTGTAGGAAGTGCACTTTACCTAAAAATAACAGGAGTTGTTACCCCAAAAGAATTTTTTGCTAATTGTATCATCACACATTTTGAGACTGCAAGATCCTGCTACCTACAGGCAACCTTTCACCTTTATTGTTCATGAGCAAATAAAGCAGCTGGAAATCAATATTCACAGACATTTTTTCTGTGGAGCTACTGCTGGTGTCTTCCACAACCCTTGATTTGCAAAACTGTAGCAGTCACAATTAATTACACTTGTTATTTAAAGGACTGAAGTAGAGGCATGTCTCTACAGCAGCCAACACCAATGGCAAAGCATACAGTAAAGTCTTGTCTAATCACTGAGAAAATAAATTGGAAATACTGTGAAATTTTTACTGTCTCTCAATTCTTTCTCAAACTATGGAAGAGAGATCTCCCTCTCCTCCATCTCCCAAGAGCTCTCCAAGAATTCCATACACCTAAACACAAATAACATGTTTTTTCCCCCAAGTCTTGAGACAGAGATTTATTTTCCTTTATCTCCATTCTGCCCATCACAAACTTCCTACCTACACAACCATGAGTATCGCTTTCCCATCCCTTCCCCACAACAGATGCAGGGAAGCTAATTGTTTTAATCTCACTTTTTCCACCCCTAATTCTTTAGAGATTTGAAGTATCAAGGGAAAACTTCATATTTTTGCTACAGCAGAACCCACTGCATGGCAAGCACTCTAGAAAAAGAGTATGCAACAAGTCTGCTATATACAGGAGTGTCAGCTAGAGAGAAAAATGCAATTTTCTTGAAGGATTAGAAGTATAAGCAGAGCAAGCTTTTTGGTGCATCACACCATACAGACGGCACTGAAGTCAGCAAATCCAACAAATAGGTGACTGGACCTTTAAATTTTGTAAAGAAAGAATAAGAGAAGTCCTACAGCACTTTGAGAGGATCTAGAAGCGTGAGTTTGAGGCACTAAGAATGACTGAAAGATGACTGGAATAAAATGGGTCAAGCAATTAAGAAGGAGGCCTGGTAACCAGAGGAAAGACAGTTGCACAAGAATAACACCTGCAAAAATATTCAAGTAACACAAGAAGGCCAGCTAGACCATGAATGGCATTGCCCAGCTTCAGATAATGAAGTGGCAAATCATCTTTGCTCCCTCCACAGACCCAGAACACCTGGAGAGCCATTTCTCCTCCACTAGCTCTGTAAGGAAACAAAACCATAACTAATTTGAATGTTATGGCTACCAGAATACCTAAACCACATAAATCAAACATGCCAGGTAACTTTTATTTTTTTTTCCTTTTCTTTTCCCCCCCAACCGGCTCTGTTAGATACTCTGTTACATACCCAAATTTTAACTAAAGCCAGTGCATACAGCACACTGCAGTTCAGGTTTCAGAGAGGGCAAGGAAAATCCCGTTGAGATCACACATCCTCATCTTACCTTGCAAACCTTTACAGTACTCCTATGCACACTTGTGCCAAGTGCTTTTAAGAGTATTTTTTTTTTGTCAGGTTATAATGTGACTTAACAGCTTTAAGAAGCCATGAGGGAGCGTGCTCCAGTTCAAGTGAGAAACCCCTCTGCTCCTTTTTAAGACTTTGCAAATAGAATGTCAGATAAGCTTAGATATCCCCAAGATATCCATCTTAACACTCAAAGACTAAGAAACTGCACGCACATCGTGAGGTCTGGCACCAAACAACACCAAAGAGCCACAAACAAGTGGAATCCAGGAGCCCCAAACAGCATTAAGTGTTTGTTTTACTAAACCATCCAGGAGTTCTTGGCAATCAACACCCCACCCCCAACAAAACAGGTTTTTGCCAAGTATCCCATCACAGGCAAATGCAAGACAGAATATGCAGATGCCCATGTCCACATTATTAATGCCCTGGTTCCAGCCACAAAAAGGGAATCCACTGCAGTCTGCATTTAGATCCCAGTCCCACGCACGGAGTTTTGTGAGAAGCTGACACAAGAGTGCTTCTTCCTCAATAAAATCACTAAGATGTGGAAATTCCTGGCTTGACCTTAGAGTCAAGTAATGTTGGTGCCTGTCTGCAGCTACACCTGGCTTTCCCCTATCACTGTCAGCGACTACTTTGATTTAAGGCTTTCATAAGGCACCAAGAGATAACCTCAAGAACAATCAGTCTCGCTAATTAGAAGCTCACCGTTTTAGTTTTTTACATAACAAAGTCCAAAAGATACCAGGGCTGTCTGCAGACGCGCGACATCAATATGCTGGTTACACATGAAGTATCTTTCTCATCATGAAAAAAATCAGGACTGAGAGGGCATTTAAGACACAGTAGCAGACGAAGAATAACAACTCTGGAGGTTTTTTCCCCCATCCCAACATTGCCACACCTTGCGATTCCCAGACTAAAGCATGAATGCCTAAAACTGCAGCAGTCACAAAAATCAAACTGAAGATAAACATAAACAAGGAACCAAATAAACAACTGAATAGAGTCGAATGCTTAAGAAGCAAAATCTGGTGTCTCAAAATCAGTTCGCGGCAAGACGGGGGATCTTGGCACTGCGCCCTAATGCCGCCAATCCGGGGGATGTATGGACACAAATTCCACCTTTTGTAACATCTGAACATCCAGGAGGGGACACAGAGATTACAGTTCTCTTTGGTTTTCTCCATGAATTACCTAGTCAGTATTTTTCAGAAAGGTTCAATTCTCTCATCCCGAAACAGCCTGAGCCTTAAAAACAGCCCTCTGTCCGTACAGGGAGAGGTGAATAGTCATGGAATAACAGTGCTAAGGGACTGGAATGGACCCTGAAGTCACAAGTCCCCAGACACAGGCAGGGATGCCATTGACTAAAGCCTGCCGTTCAGAGCTCCATCAAGCCTGGCCTGGAGCACTTCCAGGCATGGGGCATCCACAACCTCCCTGGGCAACCTGTGCCAGGGCCTCCCCTCTCCCACGGCCAAGAATTTCTTCCCGACATCCCATCTAAACCTGCCATTCTTCAGTTTAAAGCCTAGCACTCCGTGCCCTTGTCAAAAATCTCTCCCAGCCTCCTTTAGCTACAGGAAGGTGCTCCAAGGTCTCCCTTGCTGCGGGTAGCAATCAGAGCAATTCACCTCATTTCTTAAGCGCCAGCCTCCCCGTACAACCTGTTCCAGCGCCTCACCCGCACGGTAAGCAACTCCTGCCTAATATCTAACCTGTCTAACCAAAACTCCCCCCTTTCTCCCTCCGCACCGGTCGGGAGCCATCCCGGAGCATCCCGCGGACGCAGCGGGGGCCGGGGCACTCTCACCCGGCAGGGGCGGCGCTCGGGGCCGGCTCTTCCCGCCGGGGCGGAGCGGCGGCAGCGCTGCCCGTGTGCCTCCTCATTCATTCCCTCATTCATTCCCGGCCGCGCAGCCCCCGGCCGAGCGCCGGCGGGACGGGCGGGCGGCAGCGCAGGGCGCGCACCGCCGGTGCCTCCGCCAGCGCTCCGCCCGCATCCCCATCTCCATCCCGCCACCCCACGGATGCTTCCCGGCCCTTCCTTTCCCCGCTGCCCACCTGCCCAGCAGCTGCTCGTGCTCGGCGCGCAGCTTGCCCAGCTCGATCTGCAGCTTGGCGCGCTCCCGCGCCGTGTCGTCCAGCGCCCGCCGCGCGTCCGCCAGCTCCGCCTCGTAGATCGCCTTGAGCCCGGTGACCTCGCGGCCCCGCACCTCCTCCCGCTGGGTCACCTGCAGCTGCAGCGCGCTGTTCTCCGTCTCCAGGCTCCGCACCTTGTCGATGTACACGGCCAGGCGGTCGTTCAGCTGCCGCAGCTCCTCCTTCTCCTGCAGGCGGGAGATGCGCGTCGGGCTCTGCGGCATCGCGGCGACGGCTGGGCCGCGGGTCCGCGGCGGCGTGGGGTCGGCCATGGAGAGGGGGCGCGGCGGGAGGACACCGGCGGGGCGGGCAGCAGGCGGGGACCGACGGACAGGCGGACGCACGGACGGACGGACCGACCGCCGTCGCCTCCTCCTCCGCCGGCTCCGCACCGATCCAATATGGCCGCGCGCCCGCCCCGCCGGACCGCGCTCGCGGCCCTCCCGCCCACGTGACCGCGCGCCAGCCAATCGCGAGCCGCCTTCTGCCGCGGGCTAAATTCAAAACCCGCCAACGGCCGGCGGGCGCGCCACCGAGGCCACGCCCACCTGGCCACGCCCACGCCCCGCGCACATTCCCGCCCCCCGTTCCCGCCCATGGCTCCGGACAAAGGGACCCGCGTCCCGCATCCCCTCCCGCCGCCGCGCCCGGGGGTCTCCGCACGGCCGCCCGCAGCCCTCCTCGCCTGGCCGAGCCCTCCCGGGGACAGGCGCTGCTTTGGCGGTGTGGTTGTAAATTACAGAATCGCGGGGTAAATCAGGCGGGGGTGATCGAGCCCAGCGTACGGCCGCTGCCACGCCTGTCAACAAGAGCGTGGCACTGAGCGCCGTGCGGGCTTTCCTTAAGCACCTCCGGGGTTAGTAATTTCACTACGTCCCTGGGCAGCCTGTTCCAGTGCGTGGGCACCCGTTCTAGGAAGAAATTCCTCCTGATGTCCAATCTAACTGCCCCTAGCACAGCTTCAGGCCATTTCCTCTTGCCCTTGTTCCCTGGGAGCACAGCCCGACCCCCCGGCTGTCCCCTCCTGGCAGGAGCTGTGCAGAGCCACAAGGGCCCCCCTGAGCCTCCTTTTCTCCAGGCTCAGCCCCTTCCCAGCTCCCTCAGCCTCTCCTGGGGCTGCAGCCCCTTCCCAGCTCCGTTCCCTGCCCTGGCCACGCTCCAGCCCCTCCATTCCCCGTGTGAGGGCCCAGAGGTGACACAGCACTGAGTGTGGCCTCAGCAGGGCCGGCACAGGGACGGGCACTGCCCCGCTCCTGCTGCCACCCACGGCTGGCACAGCCCAGGGGCCATCGGCTCTTGGCCACCCCTGGGCTCTGTCCAGCTGCAGCTATAAACCCCTCATAAATAAGGAATTCTGCCGTGCCGGATGTTTCTTACACGAATTCACTCCTCCCTCACCCACAAGCTGCTCGCTATGGTTTAAAAAACAAGCTTGGCTCCTGGTGGTGCCTGAGCACCCAGTGTGGGGCTGCTTTGGAGGAGTTTTGTATCCAGGGATCTCCCAGCTGCAGGATGAGAGGGCAGAAGGGGCTGCCAGGGAGGTGGTGGAGTCGTCACTGCCGGTGGAGGTGTTTAAGGAAAGGCTGGAAGTGGCTCTCTGTGCCATGGTCTGGGTGACAAGGTGGTGTTCAGTCCTGGGCTTGACTTGATGACCTCAGAGCTCATTTCCAACCTAACTGATTCCATGATTCTGCAAGTTTGCTCATTTCAGGACTCGGAGTGCAATTCCTCAGGTGGAGTCAGCCCAGCTTTGAAGTCTGCATTTTCATATTCCTTGGCTGATGTCAGCGTGGCTCACGAAGTTTTGCTGCCAGTGAGAGGCACTCACTTTTAGGTTGAACATTAATTATTCAGGAAAAATGGGAATCCTTTTCCAAATTTCCACTGCTATGTGACAGCCCTTCAAACTGCAAAAAGAATATATTCCAGTCACAGGGGTGTATATTGTTAAAGTAATTAAGGCATAGCTGGGAGCTCCTGCTTTTCCCACATGGTGCCTTTGCTGACACAAACCATTATCTCTGGTTTTTCCTTCCCTGCCATTTACTAGAATTTGCTCCTTTTCCACTGGAAAAATAGAAAAGCTGGGCAACAAGAGTGATAGCAGCTGGTAAAAAATTCTACAGCACCTGCTGGAACATAAAATTGTCAGCACAGTAGGATTATAACCCAGGGTAATTTTACACTGCAGCTGGCGCTGGTGTGAAAGGGTCTGTGTTCACAGGCAGTAAAAGAGACAAACTTTGGAGGTTTTATTGTTGGACAAACTGAGCCCTCTGCAGGTGTTTAGGTGTTTGGTTCTCTCTGTTTCCAGAATTTAGTTTGGTGCTTGGTTTTAAATCAAGGAGTTTTTATTGTGTTATAAAAAATTGTGGTATCATCCCTTCCCCACCCTCGTGTATTTGTCTTGCAGTTGGTCTGCCTGAAGCAAAGCACTTTTCTCTCCCAACAGAGGTATGGGTGTGAAGTGTTCTATTTCACCTCCCAAATCAAAAGGATGTATTAAAAATCCAAACTATTTGTAGGGAGGCCTTCCTTTCCCCCTCAGAAGCCTCAAGATTCATTTTTTTTGTTGTTGAAACCATTGCATTTTAGCTTCCTGGTCTACCACATGAGATTAAACTAAATAGTGCTTATTTAGCAGACAAGATTGGCTCATACTATTAAAAAATATTAATGAAAACAAATACTGTAATGGAAGCAGCTGGCCAGATCAGTCTTCTTGTTGTAATTGCCCAGTGGAAAAATAATGTTGATTTTGCCGATTCCATCCTTATTTTTTACCAGTCTGTGTTTTCAGGTTGCTGCTTCCACCTAATTGAAAAAAAGAAAAAAAAAACAACAAAAAAAACCATTGATGTACCATTTCCTATGCACATAAAATTATAATAGTTGAATCTATTAATATCTCATTATTAAAAAAACCTAAACTTGTGTTGGTTTCAACAACACGACTAGCTTCCATAAAGAAAGAAGTAATCATTGCTGCTGCCAGATTTCCCTGCAGTTTCTTTATATCTGAGATTTCTTTCTGGTGCTTGCGTGATTGAATTCTTCCTGCTGGATTAGTCTGAAAAAGGAAGAGAGTAAATGATGGGTGTTCAAACTGTGCCTGGACTGATGAAATTGAATATCAGCACTGTTCCTCTGTACTCAGGACAGCTTCAAACAAACAAACAAGCAAAAAAAAAAGGAATGTGGTGTTTACCCTTGTGACTCAGCCCTGCCTCTGACACACCTCTAAAATACATCACAAGTACTTTCCACAGGGGTTCAAAATGCCACTGCAGCTACAATTTATTCATTTTAATTTACTACTTTTTTTTGCAGTCAGCATAAATTGTGTATATGTGGCTTGTACACAACTTACAAACCCATCAGATTACACCTCTTGGACTCACTTCTTCAAAATGTGGAAAGCATTTCAATAACTGAGACATTTTTAAACAAAAGCATTCCAACATACACCATTTAGTAGCAAAAGTTTTCCCTGTACACTGATTTAAGTTTTGAGAAATTTGCATAAGTCCTGTAATTCCTAATAAATGAACCAATTTTGCTGTTGCCAACCTTGTACTGCTAAAACAAATTTTATATGTATATATAATAATTTGTATTTATACCATATTTACTTTTAAAGTGGACAAGAATCACAGTGAATACATTCTGCATATGTGTCCATAGACTGCAGGTTACCTCGATGATTCAGATATTGTTCTCCTAAAGAAAAACAATATAAAAATATTTAAATTTATATTACCTAACCTGAGTACTTATGAGAAAATACTGTCTGATTGTTTCCACCTGGGGAATGTCTGCTAAAGAAGAGTCAAAAAGAGAATTTGCTTCAGTCTGGGCTTTCAAGAAACCAAGCAAAACAACAAAAAACAAACAGAAATGTTTTTTTTTTCTGTAACAGCCATGGCAGGAGGAAAGAGCATGGGGATGTCTGCAGCTGTTTAGAAAGAGAGCAAAATCTGGAGACTCCTCACATGAGCAGATGGGGTAATAGTAATACTCCTCCCTGGTTTTTGGCTTCAGGGATGTGAAAATGATAACTGTGACTGCTGCATGGTCCCTGTGCAAATTCTAATTGCTGCTCTGTATAGCAGTAACTTGAGTATGACTACGCTGCACTTTGTAGGTTCCCTCATGCAGAACTTAAACCCTTTCCTAAAAAAATACTTTAAAAATATTGATTTAGCACTGTGTCTTACCAGGATTCCAAGAGAGGTATCAATATTGTTTGAGCTAAATGATTATATGAAATGAAAACAAACAAATAACATTAAAAAAATCTGCAATTTCTTTTTAAAACTGCTGTTTTGGGTAGAATGGAAAGCCTGTTTTTCATTTCTGCTGAACCTTTCACATTGAAAACTTTCTTAGAAAACTTTGTTTAGGGTTCTGTGGGGTCTCTTTCTCCAGAAGAAGCCCAAAATAGGATGAACAAACACATTAGGGACGCGGACACACAACATTTGCCCGTGACAGGCTGGAAGATCAAGGAGTGCTGGGGCAGGGGAAGCAGAGCAGGAGAAACAGAAGCAAAAAGAACCATCACAAGAACTGCCCCGCTCTGCTTTTCATCATCTAAATCATCATCTAAACCACCACTCTCCAGCTTGCCTTGCTTGGGCAGATGCTGAGCCAGGCAGGGATATGTGTTTGAAAAGATAAACACACGGGGTGGGCGTTGGGTTTTGGCTGAGAACGGCCCGGGGAGTTGTCTGCCCGCACTGCAGAGCTACCCACAGGGGAGAAGCAGTGATATGGCTGTTAGTTGTGGTTGAAATCACTCCCCACAGTGATTGCAAAACACCGAGAGGGAGAAGGGGGGAGAAGCTGTGGAAGGCAAAGGAGAAGCAGGAACTCATAATTGCACAGTGCCACATGAAGGTCAGGTTAGGCTGACTTCAAAAAAGACCATGCAAAACTGGAAAAGTTGCATTTCTGCAGAACAGGCTACAAAACAGAGTGTAAATACAGAATCTCCATGCTGAAGAGCCCAGTTGTTAGCACAGATGGTTTAGGCTTATAGAGAAGCAGTTGTTTTTGGTAAAAAATGGTTTTTGCCATGAAGTTACAGGGGTATTAACCCTCCTAGTACATGAGAGTGCATTACTGTGGCTGGTCCTGTGACAGGACAGCTTAATTTCACATTGTAAGTGCATGGTTAGAGAATACATCAATTATTGCCATCTTCTGAGACTTTGTAATTAGTTTTATGAAACTGTCAGCTTTGTTTTCAAAGGCTAGTTATAATAACTTGTCAGATTAACCACAACTCAAAGTCTTAGTTAACAGATCCTTGACCCCTTAGAGGCAGGGGAGCAAAGCAAACCTGTTGTGTGAGTCAGTGCAAAATTAAACATCTTAAAGAAAATTAAACACTTGCCTTGAGTCTAATCTGGCATGTGGCAGGTAACAGCAGGCATGGTGAGTTTCCCAGATTCTCTGAGTTAAGGTTAGTGCAGATGAAGCTGATGTGCTCCACATCTCTG